AATAATAAGATACATATTACAAGGACCACAGTGAAAATATCACTTTGACTTTTTGGGTTTTCCTGGGTAATTTACACACATTACTATATATGATAATTGTACTTGTGTACCTGTATCTAAATAAACTTAATTACTTACACCAGCAGCCAACGTGAACACTGTTGACACTCGATATGAGCACAGTGTTGACATGAGCTTACAGCTCGTGTCTAAAAAAGAACATGCATTCAAATCATGGACGAGGAGAGTTGTGCCATGAGCAAATCTCATTGTACTTCGTCCCTTCAAGGAGGTATCACTCGGGAAGTACGGTCATGGACCAGGCCGAGGGCATTGATCCCCAGAAAACCCTCCAAGTAGACTCGAGGGAGATATGGAATCTCTTTTCTGCAGATCAAGTCCAGTTACTCCTACCAGTTTGGCACTTTATTTGATTATAATAATTACTCCTATCTTTCTCTCTTTTTGCCTTAAATCTGAACAAATAAAATTTGTCCAGATTTTTAACCCAGAGGGTTAGCCACCCAGGATAACCCAAGAAAGTTAGTGTATCATTGAAGACTGTATTATTTTCATTGGGGTCCCAGGATGTGACCCACACCAGTCGACTAAAACCCAGGTATCTACTTACTGCTAGGTGAACAGCGCCAGCAGTAAAGGAGACATGCCCAATGTTTCCACCTGTGTCGGGATTGAACCAGACACTCAGTGTGAGGCAAGAGCATTACCAACTGAGCCACAAGACACCATAAAATTTTTTTTATTGTATACATAAATGGACTGATCACAAAATCAAGTGATATCTTTAGAGCCATCTTGGAAACCCCCATTTTGGGGGATTTTGTATATATAATTAGATTGAGAATGAAACAAGTTAAGTGGTGTATTTAAGATTACTTAAAGAGGCTTTGTAAATACATTTTATTTTGCGAAAAATACGTTAAATTTGGTACAAAAAGCGATAGGGGGCATGTTGGATAAAATGTTGCAATGTATTTGTAGGAGTTAAGTTATGAAGGTGAAGTGTTTAATATAGAGGATAAAAGCTCAATTTATAGTATGTAGGGAAGAGGAGAAACTTCTTGAACCCAGTAAAAGAGGGCCTTGAAACGAAGATCTCTGTTATGTCACCGGGTTAGTCTACTATATTTATCAGATGGGGTTGAACTAGAAATATATGGAGGTACTTGCAAAGATCGTGGAGTTAAAGTAAGAATCACACACAAAGTGGCAGTGTGTCCAGCGGCTGTTTGCAGATGCACTGTCGCATGCCGAGGAGAGTCTGGCAGGGAAGTTGCAGACATTTGGTGATGAATTAATAGGTATGTGGTGTCAGTCAAATTTATGTACCATCTTGAGACAAGATTAAAGGACTCAAGGAAAGAGAACAGTCTCATGACATAACTGAACTTCTGGTTATCCTGTGTGTTACCCTCAGTTAAAATTTGAACAATCTATCTAAATAATAGAAGTGAAAATATGCTTGATGTGACTTGACATAATTCCAGATAATACTTTGGATCACATTCAGGTAAAGTGCAAAAGGTTATAATACAATAAGGGATCCTAATAAATTGGATGTGAGGAAAAGTTGAGTAGTTGCACTTCAGACTATAAAGAATACAGACGACCTTGAAGCAAAGTAGGGAATTACGAGAGTGATAGTTTTACCAACGCTTTTTGGTGTGTAGAGCGTGGGATATTGAATGTTGCAGGAAAGGCTGGGTAGATGATTCATGTCTGAGGGCAATGTTGGGTAGAATACACTGCAGGAGTTCGTAGTTTGGCAGTAGGAGAGGTGGGATTACCAAAACTGTTTTTCCAGAGGGCTGAGGAAGGGTTGTTGAGGTGGTTCGGACATGTAGAGAGAATGGAGCGAAACAGAATGACTTCAAGAGTGTATCAGTCTGTAGTGGAAGGAAGGCGGGGTAGGGGTCGGCCTAGGAAGGGTTGGAGGGAGGGGGTAAAGGAGGTTTTGTGTGCGAGGGGCTTGGACTTCCAGCAGGCATGCTTGAGCGTGTTTGATAGGAGTGAATGGAGACAAATGGTTTTTAATACTTGACGTGCTGTTGGAGTGTGAGCAAAGTAACATTTATGAAGGGATTCAGGGAAACCGGCAGGCCGGACTTGAGTCCTGGAGATGGGAAGTACAGTGCCTGCACTCTGAAGGAGGGGTGTTAATGTTGCAGTTTAAAAACTGTAGTGTAAAGCACCCTTCTGGCAAGACAGTGATGGAGTGAATGATGGTGAAAGTTTTTCTTTTTCGGGCCACCCTGCCTTGGTGGGAATCGGCCGGTGTGATAATAAAATAAAAAAAAAAATAATTAGATTGAGAAGTAAACAAGTTGCAAGGTGGTGTAGGTTTGTGTGAAAGATTTACTTATGTGTGCTGATTACGATACAATACAACTTTCTATTTTTGCAGTATACAAAATACAGTAATAAAATATTGTTAAGTACAAAAAAAGCCACTAACATGTGGTGCATTTTGGGTATTAAATGTTACAATGCATTTTGGGTATTAAAAGTTATGATGGTGGAAGTGCTTGTAATAAAATAAGTGACTAAAAAACCTGGCAATTCTTATATAGTTTCTCAGCAAGAGTTGAGAAACTCATTGAACAGATCAGTAAGATAGAAAGCTGCCTTGAAAACCTTGAAAATCCTACTGTTATCCTCCTCGGAGATTTCAGTCTACTAATGTGTAATGGCAGAGGACAGACAACAGTATTGAACTAGAAACTATACTGGGAAGTACTCTAGCTCAACAGGATCATATTAGGACTGTGCTAAAGTATGCATTGGATCAGCAGATAACAGAGCCATGTGTCCTGCGGCTTGGTTGGCAGAGCACTTGGCTCGCATGCCGAGTGTCCATGGTTCAGTCCATGGCATGGGTGGAAATGTTGGGCATGCTTTTTTGACACCTGTTGTGTCTGTTCATGTAGCAGTAAGTAGGTATGTGTGTCAGTCAAATGTTATGGGTACCATCCTTGGAGACAAGATTAAAGGACCTCAGAGGAAATGAAACAGTCCTCGATGACATACTGACTTTCTTGGGTTATCCTGTGTGGTTAACCCTCCAGGTTAAAAATTTGAACAAATCTTATCTTAACATAATAGAAGTGAAAATATGCTTGACTTGATCTTGACATAATCTCCAGGATAATACTTTCTGATCACAATCTCAGGTAAATGCAAACAGTTATAACTACACATATGGGGATCCTAATAAATTGGCATTGTGAGAGAATGTTGAGTAATTTCATCTTCAGCAACTATAAAGAATTGACAGAGACAACACACAAAAGCAACTATCAAGCATTCCCTCAGTTGAGTAGATGCTGTGGGTTATTTGTGTGTAAGCTATGAGCCTGAAACATTTACTGGTATGTGCTTTAAGGGATATTGTACAGATATATACTGTTGGTAGTAGGTTGGTAGACAGGAGCCACTCAGGGAGGTACTGCAGTCCTGCCAAGTGAATGTAAACCAAAAGCCTGTAATTGTTTTACATGATGGTAGGATTGCTGGTGTATTTTTTGTCTCATAAACTTGCAAGATTTCAGGTATGTGTTGCTATTTCTACTCACACTTAGATCACACTACACATGCATGTACAAGCATATATATACACACCCCTCTGGGTTTTCTTCTATTTTCTTACTAGTTCTTGTTCATTTCTTATCTCTATGGGGAAGTGGAACAAAATACTTCATAACCCATGCGTGTCATAAAAGGCAATTAAAATGTCGGGAGCAGCGGGCTGGTAACCCCTTCTCCTGTATACATTACTAAAGTGTGAGGTGCAAGGTTCTTACCAGAGCTTTGGTAAGATGGGGAAGAAGGATGGGTAAGGATAGAAATATGGGAAAGGGTTGGGAGGGTTACTAAAGTTAAAAAGAGAAACTTTTGTGTTTCTTTTTGGGCCACCCTGCCTTGGTGGGATAGAACCAGTTTTTTGAAAGAAGAATACATTGTTGTGTAAAATGCTGTATATATGCCAATATTCCTTATTATAATTAGGATTATTATAATCATTATTATTTTATCATTATTTTAATCATCATTATTTTAATCATCGACCATCACGTTTAATTAATAAAAAATACAGTAAATGGCATCAGGGAGAGAGTGAAGATGATGTTCCTGCTTCGGTTTTAATTTAATTCCTCTTGCAAAAGGTTAAACTTGTTAAATGCTGTCGTGTGCAAATTGACGATTCATTCACAATAGTTAAAGTTAAAATGTATACCTGTATAGTTAAAATGTTGGATGTTGAATATTGTATGTAGGGTGTTGCATGTTGGATATATGTACAGTGCTAGTCACAGCATTATGCCTTGTGAGTGCCCCGGCATAATGCTGTGACGAAAATCAAAGGCCTACCATATGGGGGGGGGGCTCTTTTCATCAGTGCATTATGCTGGGTGGCAGCCGTTAGTATGACGTCGCGGCCTGCCACCACACTCCACAGTGACTCCTCAGTGCTTGCGTGGCTGCTGTGGTGAGAGTATGTGTTGCACCTTTGTCTCTCATCCGCCTCATCTTTTGTCTGGTGTTCCCTTTGGTTTTGGGGCTATACATGTTTGATTATGGGTAAAGGGAAGTTTTTAACAACTGAAACTGTAGCTCAAATCATAGGGCTTCACAAAGCTGAGCAACCAGATGAAAGAAATAGTGAGTGAGTGAGTGAGTGAGTGTGAGTGTGTGTGCGCGTGTGAGTGTGTGTGCGCGTGTGAGTGTGTGTGCGCGTGTGAGTGTGTGTGCGCGTGTGAGTGTGTGTGCGCGTGTGAGTGTGTGTGCGCGTGTGAGTGTGTGTGCGCGTGTGAGTGTGTGTGCGCGTGTGAGTGTGTGCGCGTGTGAGTGTGTGCGCGTGTGAGTGTGTGTGCGCGTGTGAGTGTGTGTGCGCGTGTGAGTGTGTGTGCGCGTGTGTGTGTGCGCGTGTGTGTGTGCGCGTGTGTGTGTGCGCGTGTGTGTGTGCGCGTGTGTGTGTGTGCGCGTGTGTGTGCGCGTGTGTGTGCGCGCGTGTGTGCGCGCGTGTGTGTGCGCGTGTGTGTGTGCGTGTGTGTGTGTGTGTGTGTGTGTGTGTGTGTGTGTGTGTGTGTGAAGTGAAAGTGTGAGCGAGCATTCAGTGAGGAACTGGGTGCAGCGTATCAAGGCTGGTGGCAGTATCGAGTTACCGTCTGCCAAACCTCTGCCTGGTCCCTCGTAGAAGACATCTGTTCGTATGTTAACTGTGTTAAAGAAGCAGTTAGA